AAGGGGATCAGGTTCACAAGAAGGTTATAGAGAATAATTTATGCAACCCGTGCCCAATCCTAGCATTAGCATTCGCGAACATGCAATTGAGAAGCCACATAGACAGATGAAAACAAACTTGTTTGATGAAAATCAGAGAATGGAATTCCACCACCTGCTTCAAGGCCTAATAATAACTTTCAATAGTTATTTTCCACAACTAGTTTTCAGTTCAAAGTTTCTTTTTATCATCTTCACCTCACTTGTGAAAAGGAATATGATGAGTCGATGAGTAATGAAACTATTACAAGCTCCCAAAAGAATTCATTACTTTTCCCCAATTTTCAGAGCAGATAAACATCCCACGGCAACAGCCACAAAAACTGAAAGAAAACATCATCAATTTGAAATCTTTCCAAACTCCCAGATGAAGATATACTCAAAGCAAGCAAAAAATCAACAACAACTAGGCTCATATTCAATTAGCCACAAGCAAAACCCCAAAAAAGATTTTTTTATCTTCTTCACCTCACTTGTGAGAAGGAAAAAAGACAGTAATCATACCACTACAAATTCAAATGTAAAACCTTTTCATTTCTTGTCCCATTTTTTAGTGCAAAAACAACATCCCAAGAGCCAAAGGACTGAACAAAACATCATCAATTTGAAATCTTTTCAAAACCCCAGATGAAAACACACTCAAAACAAGATTAGCCACAAACATAGCCAAAAAAGAAGTGTCTTTTTATCTTCTTCACCTCAATTGTGAAAAGGAAGAAAGACCGAGCAACCATAACACTACAAACTCAAATACTAAAGAACTTCAATACTTTCCCCCAAATTTTGTAGCAAAAACAACATCACCACAAACAAATCCCCCAAAACCAAACCAAACCAAAACATCATCAAGCTTAAATCTTTCCACAACTCTACATGACAACACACACAAAACAAGCAAATAAACAACAAAACTAGGCTCATACTCAATTAACCACAAACATTTCAGAACAAACACAACATCACAACAAACAAACCCCCCAAAACCAAATCAAAACATCATCAAGATGAAATCTTTCCACAACCCCACATGAAAACACAATCAAAAACAAGCAAAAAAAAAATAAAAAAATTAGTCTCATACTCAATTAACCAAAACATAGCCAAACAAAACTCTTAGAATTTCATTACTTTCCCCTAAATTTCAGAACAAAAACAACATCACAACAAACAAACCCCCCAAAACCAAATCAAAACATCATCAAGATGAAATCTTTCCACAACCCCACATGAAAACACAATCAAAACAAGCAAAAAAAAAATAAAAAAATTAGTCTCATACTCAATTAACCAAAACATAGCCAAACAAAACTCTTAGAATTTCATTACTTTCCCCTAAATTTCAGAACAAAAACAACATCACAACAAACAAACCCCCCAAAACCAAATCAAAACATCATCAAGATGAAATCTTTCCACAATCCCACGTGAAAAACACACTCAAAACAAGCAAAAAAAACATCAAAACTAGGCTCATACTCAATTAACCACAAACGTAGCCAAACAAAACTTTCTTAGAATTTCATTACTTTCCCCCAAAATTTCAGAACAAAAACAACATCACAACAAACAAACCCCCCAAAACCAAACCAAAACATCATCAAGATGAAATCTTTCCACAACCCCACATAAAAACACACTCAAAACAAGTAAAAACACATAAGGAATGAAACAAAAAAACACAAAAAGATTATACAAATTACCTGAAAAAGAGTGGTGGCATAGCTAATGTAATTTCGAATAAGACCTTGTGCAGTGACTCTGATCTCATTCTCCTTAATGGGTTCCTCTGGCCTTGGTTTCTCCACCTTCTGGTACCTATCCATTTTCTTCTTCTCAACAAAATCACTCTCACTCTCTCTAGACCTTTCTTTCTTTAGGGCCAAATGTTATACTGAAAAAAGAACAGAGACACATGGTGTAGAAATATAGGAATTTCAGAATTTATATTCAATAATATAAATAAAACTCCTGAAAAATAAAATGATTTAAAAAAAAAATAGGAATATTGGTAAATGCATGCATAAAAAAGTTGTACTATGTGCATAAAAGTTTTGTACTTTTGTGTTTATTTAGAAAAAAGCTAACCCTAAATTTATTTCTATTTAGAGCGGCTTGACTTAGGTTATGCGTGAGAGTAGCTTAATAATAGGCATTAATTAGCAAATAAAACAAAAGTTTGTACATTTATATTTTTTTTAATTGGGACAAGGCCGTTATACACGGTGAACAAATTAGCAATTACACATTTAAATTATGTAAAGGTCTTATAATTTTCTGAACCTTTTTTGTTTGTATTATTTACTCGATTCATAACATAGAATCGGTTGAAGTCCAACTCTTTTTTTGCCTTAATCCAAACTTTTAACTATGTGAGGTTTTACCATTTATAAATTACGACAGTTAATGTATATAATAAAAAATATGATATATTTTAAGCGATCAGTGATTAAGAACACATAAATTTTTTATCTAAAATATGATTAAATATTATTACTATTATTATACATTATTGAAATAATCCCTAATATGAGTCTAAATAATTGAATGGTACCAACATTTGTAGACGTATTTCACTAGTCTCCACTTATTGATGGAAATAATAATAATAATATAGTTGTGTTTCTGTATTATTATTGTGTGATATAACTAACTCATAGAAGCAATTAGGTTTACAAAGTGTGTAACTAGCAAAAGTATGCGAGAAATACTGAAAAAATTATGTCGTTTTATTGTTTTTCTATTCGTATTAAAGTCTAATTACATTTATGAAGAATCTCAAACACACCATCACAGTTCATATTGATATCAATTTATTATTATTCGATAAAATGATCAAACTTTCCACAACTGTGTATTGAAATATTGCTTCAAAAGTTTTTAAAAAGCAATTTCATTCATTCGACTAATCAGTATCTCATTTCATGTCATAATAACAACAACAACAACAACAACACATTCAATATAAATCCACATATAAGACATAAAAAGAATAATATATATACCAACCTTACTTTATAAATTCATAAAAAATGTTTTTTACATTATAAGTAAACCATAAATAATATTATTAAAAATTGATAACAATAACGTCCCACTTCCTTTTAGTTTAAATATATGAATCATCTTTATCAAAAATGTTTTCAATACATCTTATCTATCACTGGAAATTCTCTAATATATAACAGCAAAAACTCTATAAATTAATACCCAATAAATTAATAATCTCTCTAAAATAATATTTTTCTCCGGTCCCAACTTGGGTCAACGGAAAATATCACCAATTTCGATAAGATAATAAGATAATATATTTCCAAAAGACCCTTATATAAATATATGGTCTCATTAATATCATAAATTAATAATTCTTTAAAAGTACAAATATATCTAAGACAAATTAGTGAAATATGATTCTATTGTGTTTGTTTTTTCTTAAAATTTAAATCTAGTTGAAGCTCATCTCTAGTTTTTCTTATTGCATCCAAGAGCTCTGGTGTTGTCTTTTCGAACTACACCATAAAATTGTGAAGAGTTCTTGATGTGATAAGTGTTTACTTATGTGTAACTGATTCAAAAGGTATAGTATAATTTTCAACTTCATCATCAACATTGCTTTTTCCGATGGTATCCACAATTTCTTCTAAGCTCTAGACCTTTGAACATGTATCACTTTCACTCCGATAATCCAACGGGTTATTGACATCCATTTTACTGTGGTAACCGAGATCATTAATCACGACCTCAAGTTCATGAATGACGTTTTCACAAGTGGGTTCATTCAAATTCTGTGAGATCGCATCCCCGAACGAATTTTACAGTGTCGAAAATAATTTGCTATTGTCTCTTGTTGAACATTTGTTGTCCAAGCAGGGATTGCAAAATTGATAGCATCCAAACATTAATCTTTGTTGGATCAGTTTGTCCCACTTCATAAACTTCTAATATCCTACGATAAAATCTGTTACGATAATACATCTTAAAAGCTCTTATTAACCTAGCATCACAAGGTTGAATTTTGAATGTCATGTTGGGTGGCAAGAAAAACAATTCAACATTTTGTAGTCCTTCAATATTTCTATTATGGGTTGGACAATTATCTACCATAAACAAAACTCGTCTACCATACATTTTGTGGTCAAACCAACAAATATATTCATCAAAAAGCACACTTGTCATCCATGCTCTTTTGTTTGCACGATAGTGACAATTCAATAAATATGATACAAAAATTAGTAAGATACAATGATTTTGATGTATTCGTTGTACTTTATGTATAATATTTTTTTTTATGTGAAATCAATAAATATGATACATAAATCAGTAAGATACAATGATTTTGATATAATCAAAATTAACCTTCATTTAAAATCTCAAACCATTCATTAAATTAATAAATATTAATTTATCGATTGAATAATATCTCTATAAAATAATAAAATTTCATGGTCTCACTTATATTAATTTATAGAGATTTTACTGTATACTGAATATTTCTCTAATACACATCTTATCTATGTCTCTTTAAAATAAATTCTTTCAATGCAATTTTAGGTCTTTCTTTATATATATCTTTTAAGCACACAAATATGGAGATTTTTTTGCCTTCTAATTTCTCATTTACTGTTCAACACATGCATTAAAATCTCGATTAAATTTGAATTTGAATTCAAACTCAAGACTTTTGAATAAAAATGAAACGGTCTCATTACTCTACGACAACCTACGTTGGTCACCTATGGAGACATATAATTCTTTTATTTAAACAAAACACATCATTTAAAGCCGTAAATTGTCGCTCACAAAAAAGTATATGGCACAAAAAGATCAGGGTACTAAAATAACAATCAAAATATAAAAAGGGACCAAAAAGCAAATTCATCAAAATAACGAACGGCACATAATTGTGTATAGATCCCGCCAAATAAAATTTCATTATAGTCCCTCAAGTCCAATAAATTTTACTTGTTCCACATTCTTCCACGTATCTTTTCAATTTCCATAATACTCCTTACAATCTTCATCTTCTTCTTCACTCTTCACTGCAACTCAAAAGCTTCACTCAAAAACCTATACTTACATACAATTTTGTATAGATATAATTTTTTTTTGAAGCTTTGATTTCGCTATAATGGATGCAGCTGCACAGTTGGTTTACTGTGGAATTGATCCTATGTGTCGCTCTTCATTGCCGTATCGTGGACTCTCTTCTTCTGGTTCTTCATCATCATCGTTGAAGAAATTGAGGATTCGGAGGAAAAACGGCGTCGTTCGGGCAATTGCGACTGAACCTAAGCCGTCGGAGTCAAAGACAACTACTAAGCCGGTTAACGGCATTCCTAAACCAGTCAATGGTTCTTCTATGGTAGGTTATGCTAATTCAATTTTTGAAAGTTTTAGTCAATTTTTGGGTGAATTGAATTGTGATACTAATTTGTGCTGCTGTTCGAAAAAAAGGGATGATTTTTAGAAATGTTTCTGAATTTTTATTGGTTAAAGGGAAAATAAGCTGCAAATTGGTTATTTGAATGGGTTTGTTGGTGTGATTAGTATACTGATGTTTGGATGATGGCTGATTGAATTTTTGTATTTGTGGGTTTGCAGAGAATGCAGGATGTATCACAAGAGATCAAGAGAGTGAGGGCACAAATGGAAGAAAATGAGGACTTAGCTATACTCATGAGGGGGCTTCGAGGTCAAAACCTGAAAGATTCGTTGTTTGCTGATGATAACATTAAGCTTCGCCTAGTAGAGGTTCGTTTGTTTGACTTTCTTATCAAAGTATATCAAGAACTTTAGCTTTTGGCTTGGAAAAGTATAAATGGATATTCTGTTGTATCTAAAGATCTTTAGCTTTTGGTTGGCTTGGGAATAGCTGTCCTTTGGCAATTACTATATATTTTAATGATTCCTATCTTTGATTTCTTCAGGTTAATGAGAGCAGTGAGTTCTTGCCCTTAGTTTATGATCCTGCTAGCATTTCTGCATATTGGGGTAAACGGCCGCGTGCTGTTGCTACCCGTATAGTCCAGCTAACATCTGTTGCTGGAGGTTTTCTTTCACGTCTTGCCTGGGATGTGATAAATAAAAAGGTTAAAGAGGTAAGCTGCACTGGATGCTTATCCGCTTTTGCTGAAGTTAGTGAATTGCATGTAGAGCTACATACAATTAACTTTTGAAATCCTATGCCTGTGGGTTCTGTGTGGTTTGCAGTCCTATAAGATGGATTTTTTTGGCTTTCTGTAGTATTCCTGATTGAATGATCAATAAGGAGCTATTATTTCGAACTGATTACCATTTTCTTCATTTCAAATTCAAGCATTTTAGGCTTCTTTATTGATCTCTTCTCTACAGAGCTTCATTCATTTGATACCTTACGGTAAAATTTCACTACAGTACCTAACAAGAACAAGGATAAGTTGATACTGAGACAATGGAGTTGTGAGGCATGACATTCAATCAAGATGGAAGAGTAATAGGACAGAAGAAGTGACAGAGTAAATGAACTTCAAAATGAATTCTGAGGTTAAAGTTAAACTATTAAATATAGTTATTCAGAATTTTAACATGTCACAATGCCAGGATGTAAAACACTAATTGATGAATTCTTAAAACCAATAGTGCCTAAAGTTTCTCCCTTTGAAATAGTTACTAATCAGTAATTGTTTTGGTTGAGCTTTCCTAATTTCTAAAAGGGAATTAGAACAAGTGACATTAACAAATATGCTTGGTCTGCTTGAGTAATCCCCCCACCCCCACCTCACACAAATAAAAGAAAACCCGGAATCAAGATGTGTTGGAACCCTGTAAGCTTTTGTAGAACTAGTTAATTTCATGAAATTCCATTTGGAAACAGGTAATCATCTTTATGTCATAAAAGAGAATTCTATGAGTTGGAACAGTTGTGTGGTGAACATTGAAATAGAGCTTTGATGCATTCATTTATATACTCATATACCACACATCTTTCATTACTTTTTCATCCCATAACTTTTGATCTTTTCCAATCATTAGAATGAGGTTGCTCGAGCAATTGAGTTGAGGGAGATTGTAACATCACTGGGTCCAGCATACATAAAGCTAGGGCAAGCATTAAGCATCCGGCCAGATATACTATCACCTGTTGCGATGGTTGAGCTGCAGAAGCTTTGTGATAAGGTCAGATTGCAGTCAGCAGCATGACTTATTTCTTTAAGTCCAACTTTAATTTTCAGGAAACTATTATATCTACCAACTTAAATCATACTATTTATTTTAGTTTAATTTCATTGATACCTGAATGGTGGATTCTGTAAAATTCTCTTGTTGCTTTTTTCATATTCATATAACTGTTTTGATGAGCTCCAATTCATTTTAATGCCATCTACCTTTCTATGTGGTTGTCCTTTAATTAGAGACTAATATTCTTTGTAGTGTACTGTATTGGAGATTGAGGAACTACTTTGTTAAAACTTCTTTCTTAGGCTAACCCTTTTCCCTATGATCTGGAATAAACCGTAACAATGGCACTTGTAATTTGGTTGGGAAGTCTTTCTTATCTGGATGAAATATAATGTCTATCCTTGTCACAGAATGCCAATGGAAAAGCCTGCTTCTAAAACCATTTTTATAATAAATGTTTCTGTAAAATTAAGCCATTGCTTTCATGTGAGAAGAACTGGTGAATCTCTTTGCCTAGTAATGTTCATGTTTTAAAGCAGCTGAGGCATTGACAGGTTCATTCTTCGACCATGAGAATTCTTTGAGCCCTTTTGAAGAGATGAGGCTCTTTTTTCTTTATGGAATACATTTAGAACATCTTTGCCAAGTCAGAAAAGAAGAAACATTAAGAACTAGGTGCACGTCATGGGGCTAAAAGCTGCATGCGACGAAATTAGAAATAATATGAAACACTGAAAGGTGGAATATTGTGTAAGCTATGTACAATCTTTACTGTTGGCAACATGTTACACTAATTAATGTGAACAGACTACAATCCTTACTATTGGAAACATGTTGCACTAATCAATGTAAGCAGAATGTTGGATTTACCATGATTAGTCTTGTGTACAGCCTGCACTGGAGACCTTGTGACTGGTTCTTCCCAGTAGTTTTTTTTTTGGGGAAGTTTTGGGGGAAGGGGGTAAGATTGACAAATGACAAAGTAGTGTAATTGAAAAAACTCTTTACTGTTGCCTTCTGAACTTTTAGCATTGCATGATTGCTTCAGGTACCATCATTTCCAGATGATGTTGCTATGGCCCTTATAGAGGAGGAATTGGGAGAACCATGGCCTAACATCTATTCTGAGCTTTCTCCGTCCCCAATTGCTGCTGGTAATCTTTCTCATCATCTCTAGAACTTTCTTTTTAAATAATATGCTGTAATTATTTCTTCATTTTCACTATGTATTTCCTTAACCATTCTCTTTTTGTTGGGTTAACTTAAATGTGAGTGCTTCTTTTTGCACATTTTTCTTCTGTAAAATGTAAAAAAATAGCTAATTTCTAAAGAACCTTTTTCTTCATCATGGCATTGGCAGCGTCCCTTGGGCAGGTGTATAAGGGCCGGCTGAAGGAGAATGGAGACTTGGTTGCTGTTAAAGTACAGAGGCCTTTTGTCCTTGAGACAGTGACAGTTGATCTATTTATCATACGGAACTTGGGGCTAGTTCTTCGCAAGTTTCCACAGGTATTGATTGTCCAGTTATATTTCCCCATTATTTTCCAATCATTGTTAGTCTGGAAGAAATAATGCTTGTTGCTTCTGTTTTTAAGATTTCCATTGATGTGGTTGGATTGGTGGATGAATGGGCTGCCCGCTTCTTCGAAGAACTTGATTATGTGAATGAGGGAGAAAATGGAACACTTTTTGCTGAGATGATGAAAAAAGACCTTCCTCAGGTATCAACAATTCTGACCTCTACCTCACACCTCTGCCCCAAATGAATAAAACCCGGAAATGATTAGAATTAAATAAAGCGAGAAAGAGCACTTCTCCTTTTCTTTCCCAACCTCCAATCTCTCCATGTAATAAGAAAAATGAATTTTGTCTCTAACCAGCAGTGCACCTTGTCTCAAAATAGGAGAAACCCTCCCTAGGGGGTGTCCTCCAGTTTAGACCTATGTTACTCGGACTCTTCAAAAATGTCAACAGGTGCGTGTCAGATTCGCCAAAAGTAGTGTATTTTTGGAGAATCCAACACGGGTGCGGCATCAAAAGTGAAGAGTCTGCGCAACTAAGGTTACACAAGGTCATAGAGATTTTGTTGCTGTAAGTTTGTTTCCTTAAAAGCTGGCTGCGATAGTCTAAGCTGGATTCTGTAATTCTCTTCCTTAGTTATTGATGAAATTGGTTAATTCCAAAAAAGAAAAAGCAGTGTGCAATTTATTAACTTTTTAGGGAAAAAAGGATAAGGAGAAGTATGTGAACTTACTCACAGAAGAGTAGATATTTGCCTATATTCTTATAGATGTATTAAAGTACAGATTTCTTAAACTGGAAAGTATGATGCTTGCTGCCTCTAACAGTGTTGTGATCTGTCTGGGGAAACCTTTTTCAGGTTGTTGTCCCTAAGACATATAGCAAATATACTTCAAGGAAGGTTCTTACAACAGGATGGATTGATGGAGAGAAGCTATCACAAAGCACCGCAAGTGATGTAGGTGATTTGGTAAATGTTGGAGTCATATGCTACCTTAAGCAGGTGCTATGCTTAAACTCTTTACAAATTTTATGTTAATATATTAATTAAGCTTTTGAGTCTCATATCTTGCAAACATCATTAAGATCTTGTTTTCTTGATTTTTCTGTTGTATACTGCCTTATCCTTACTCCAGATCGATCAATGTGGTATTTTTTCTATGAATATCCTCTTGACAATTAAAATTTGTTCTCCATCTTATATTTTGTCTTTTTGGTATACAGTTGCTTGACACTGGTTTCTTCCATGCGGATCCACATCCAGGGAACTTAATACGTACGCCAGATGGAAAGCTAGCTGTACTTGACTTTGGTAAGAAGCTTTCATTTGGTTTCCTCTTTTCCTGATAATTTATTGAATAGTTCATGAAAGTAACTCTATGGAGAGAAATGTTTCTGATGAAGAACTATATTGACAAGTTACCTTCAGTTTACTTTGAACTTAATTTGATTTGGCCTTTAAGGTGCTTATTTCCTTTGTAATTGATCAGTTTATTACTCTTTGCTTGCCGTAAGTTGACTCGTGTTATTTTGCTTTGACAGGCTTGGTTACAAAATTAACAGATGATCAGAAATATGGCATGATCGAAGCCATATCTCACCTTATTCATCGAGATTATGGTGCCATAGTCAAGGATTTTGTGAAATTAGGTTTCATTCCCGATGGGGTCAATTTGCAACCCATTTTGCCTGTACTTGCCAAGGTTTTTGACCAGGCACTTGAAGGTGGGGGAGCAAAAAATCTTAACTTCCAGGAGCTGGCATCAGATTTGGCACAAATAACATTTGATTATCCATTTAGAATACCACCCTATTTTGCTTTAATAATTCGAGCAATAGGCGTGCTGGAGGGGATTGCATTGGTGGGGAACTCTGATTTTGCCATAGTGGATGAAGCTTACCCATATATAGCACAGGTACACTCATATGGTGCCACAGTTCATTTGTTCTCTATATTTTACATTTACATGGATCCAAATTGCTGTAATTGCGTGAAACAACAATTGCCATCTCTGTGAGGGTACTTTGATGATCTATGTGACAACATTATCAGATAGCCTTGTTTCACACTTACAACCTACTAACCTCGGAGACTAAATATGGTTGTGCATTTGAGTCTTACTTGGGAGGCTGTCGAACACCATTGAGACATGTCTTTAACCAATTTATACATTTCCTACTTAATGCAAAATAGTTTAAATTTGGATTGTAGAGCTCGTTTAAGTCTCTGGTACCAATATGAATAAGACACGCTTCTCAATATTGTACTCCTTTGGTCCTATATTAATTCGGCACTATCCTCTTTGGTCCATAATAAGAATTGATCAGTTTCATTGATCAGAAAAACTTTACCCATTATTATTCTATGACATAAATTATACATGGGACCAAAATCAAAACTTCTCATGATAGCTTCCTTTTTTTATTCTCATGGTGTAGTAGCATGGAACTCTGTGGCTCTGTCTACTACACCACTTGTGATAAATGACATTCCTATAACTCATCTGAAAGCTTAAACTTCAGAGGGGATTTGATTCATTGATTTGGTTCTGCAAAACTTAGTTTGTCCATTGTCATCCTTCAGGTGTCACTTTTAGATAATTTGAATTCTCATTGTTTACACTGTGCGTTTTCTTTTCTCAGAGACTGCTGACAGATGAATCTCCGCGGTTACGGAGTGCTTTACGTTACACAATATATGGGAAATCTGGTGTTTTTGATGCTGACAGATTCATAGATGTTATGCAAGCATTTGAGAATTTTATAACTGCAGCTAAGAGTGGAGGTGGGGAGAGTTTGAATGGGAGAATGGCAGAGCTTGGCATTCTGCAGAGCCAAACAAATAGCATAATTCCTTTTCCCTCAAGTGCTTACCAAACAGAGCAGCCAATTCAAACCAGAGCAGCATTAGGATTTCTGCTCTCTGATAAAGGGAATTTTTTCCGTGAATTCCTTTTGGATGAGGTATGTGTACAGATTTGGGAACAGTCACCATTGTATTATCCTTGACACATGCTGTTCTTTCTAGTTGTATACATGTTTCATAGTCTATCATACTCCTCCTAACCCATTTCTAGTGTCCTAGTTTGACTATGCATGGGCACACAACTTTTAGGGCAATAGTCAAAGTTTTATTGTAGTATTTAATTAATAGTGATTCCACAACTAGAGATGAAATTTGCTTTTAGGAATTTGACACTGTTTTGCATAAAAGTGAGTCCCGTGGACATTTTTTAGGAAAAAGTACTGAACAGTATAAAAAAAAAGTATTGAACAGTATGTGGAAAATTTTCCCTTTCAGTTGAGTGAGAACATCTTCAGGTTAGATAAGTAAGGATATAGATCATGACTGTCAGTTTTAATTAGCATAGATTAGAGTGCTATGAATAGCATGTGCTTTGCAAATGGACTTCAAATGATCATCGCCTTTTTGTAATGTCTGGTATATGTCCTTGCTTTCTTGTCCTTCACGCCTGAGCCATTGTAAACTAAATATATTTCTAGTCTGCTTTTCATATAACATTTGATCTCATTCTCTCTCTCACACACACAATACGGAACCACTATTAGAAACCTCAGCTATCACAAGAATATAAGTATGTGCTGTATCCATTTGTTCTAATACGGTCATACTTACTGGGCCATACACGTGACATTTCAACAACATAATTCTCTTCTTAATGCAAGCAGATAGTGAAGGGCATTGATGCACTAACAAGGGAGCAGTTGGTTCAAATAATGGCATACCTTGGAATTGGAAATGCAATTCCAGTATTCAGTATGGTTCCTGCTGCTTTTGTACCTATTAGACCGGCTGCACTTGTACCATATGTAACTGAGGAGGACAGAATCATATTGAACAATGTTCAAAAAATCATCCAATTCTTAGCTGCTGGGACTGCATCTAACCAGGTATCCCAATTTTATATTATGGCAAGTTTATCTCCAGAGGAGATTTAATTACTTCACTTTGCACACAGCAAAAGAAAAGAGGTTGCTCCTTTGTTGCCTCTGCTCGCAAATAAGTTGCAATTGCTCCTGCGCTAGTAGGCTTAATTAAACATCAAATCATATTACCAATGTCTCGTTTCTAGATGTGTTTCCTGAAATCTTGAACTCCTCTGAGCGTGTGCTAGTGTCAACTTCCCATGGACACGTTATCGGTAGAAATAACTGTGGGCTGTCATAATATTTCACAAGCAGGTTAAAGAAAAAGACATAGGAGTAATAATCTACATCTCAAAACACTTGCATGATTTTGTAAAATATACTCTAAGTGTCTGAATTCGAACATAAAGGGGACTTAGATTCTGAGTAATTTGCCAGAAAATAGCTTAAGTAAACTAAAGTGCATTTCCATTTTGCTATTCAAACACATCATAACTATATTTCATCCTCAGGGTTTGGAGGGAGCAAGTGTCCGTAGAGTGATCCAGGAGCTTCTTCCAGTGCTTCCAGGCCTCTCGGCTAAGGTTCTTCCCGAAATTCTTAGTCGACTTACTTCTCGTGTGATGGCACGCTTGATACGAGATGCACTGTTGTAATTCCAATCCTTCTAACCTTACAGTTTCCTCTTCTTGAATTGTGCATATATCATTCACAAACTTGAGAGTAAGTAGATATAGAAAAAGTATATTTATTGTACCCTCTTGTGAGGCTTTACCAATTATACTGACTAGTATAGTTTCTGTACTTTATCAGAACAGATGTAAACTTCCATATATCAAAAAGAAATATGACACTAACAGCAATTCCCTTACAATCTGTTCTACTTCTCTGGATTCACATATTGCAAGAAAATTATTTATTCATATCAACGAACAAAAGTTCAAGACATTTCCACCAAACATCACTGGGAAAATCCAACAGTTTTACATCATGTGAAAAGAGGAAGCAACTTGTTGCCTGAGGCATATGAAATGATCTTCCTTTTAAGTGGAGAAATGTATTGTGCCCCATTGAATGCAAGAGCCCTGAGTACATTTATTGGCATGAAGTCAATAGAATATGCCTTCTGAAAACCATCTAGGATTGCCATCATTGTAATGTTTGCAGCTTTCCTCTCTGATTCATATCTCTGTAAAAGAGTTATCTGCACAGAATAAGATTACCATTATAACCTGTAATGGAGAGGTAAAACGAGCCAGCAGTGTCGTAAAGGATACCCAAAAATTGTAAGCCAATCACAATAATAACCATCAATGTAAGACAGTGATTCTAGATTATACCAGAATAGAGAAGCTTCATGTCTTGCCATTTTCTGTCTATATCTACAGGGAAAGAAAGGATTAGGAACATACCTCCCCAATGTCAGATCCGACTGCAACACCTTCAGCAATAACTTTAGAAAGACACAATGCATCTGCAAATCCCATATTAACTCCTTGGCCAGCCAGTGGATGAACTGTATGTGCTGCATCACCAATAAGAACTAGACGTTTTGATGCATAACTATTAGCATGCATTAAAGACAAAGGGAAGGCCATTCTATGAGAGGCTAGCTTAGTAACTTTTGGTGGAACTTCAAAGCCCTCATGTGTTGATGATGTGCTGTCAGCTTTGAGCCATGAAAATACATTTCCACCCTCAAATGATTTGGATCGTGGATGAGGACCATATCCATGGTCCAGTGCGAGGTTCACTGCTTTTACAAAGTCTTCCTCTGACATTGAATTCCGGTCAACAGCTTCCTTGGGGTCCATTGACCAGACAATATTGCTGAACTTTTCACCAATGGGCAGAAGTGCAATTGGACCATTAGGAAGAAATCTTTGCCAAGCACAGAAGTTCTCTACTGCATGTTCTACTGTACAGATGATTGCGCTTTGTGAATACTTCCATCCGGTTGTTTGTATTCTTGCCAGCTCCCTAACACTTGATTTTGACCCATCAGCTCCAACCTGTAACATGTTATCTAACTCATCATTTGTATTGAAGAATCCTTCAAAACATTCACATTTGGTGAAACATAAAACAAGTTGAGTTTACCACTAACTTCGCATACATGCTGTTTCCATTATCCAGTTCCAACTTTGCTGAACTTCCACTAGCAGATGATGATGTGCCACTGGAGCTTGTCACTGATGACATTGCAGGAAAGGTTATTGAACTTAACCTGGACGAGTGTATTGTCTTCTGAAAATCCGTATTCTGTCCAAATTATCACCACCTCCGGTCAAACATATCACCAGGCAATCATTGACATAAATCAAAATGAGGAATCTCAGGAGTTCCAATTAAATACCAATAAGCACAAATTAGAACTAGAAACAAAAAGTTTTAGCTTTCCCTGTTACACCAATCTATTACTCAAAATTCTGAAGGTAAAAGTTATCACGGACACTTTTTCAAGTAACTTCAACAATTCAGTTGGAGCATCATTGTCGTTGGTCTTTTGGGCAGTAAGGGAGACAGAAATATCTAGATTGCTGAAGCATCTATACCAAAGCAGTTTGAGTCTCACAACAAAAGTGACATTAACATGTATACTTTTGATCTGAGATGCACATGTTAGGTAGGGAATTATGAACCTCGGCAGTAAAAGAAAAATTGAAGTAAAAAAGAAATGCTAATATTTATGATCTTAAGAACATTTGTTACAATAGAAAATTACATGTAAAAGCAACTTTAGGACCAATATGATTAGAGAAAGGTGTTGAATCAGACACTGAAACATCATCAACACTAACACGTCCTTGAAACAGTTCGCTTTTCATTTTAGTTTTTTGACTGATGATAATAACTGTTCACCCAAATGGGTTAAATTCTGTATACAAAGATAAAGAGCATAAGCAAGAACATGGCTCTCCACAAGAAGCAACAAAGCATGGAATCAAAGACAGGGAACCCCATCCTTGAAATAGATTTGTAGCAAGCTTCTTAACAACAACACCAGCTATGCTTCAATCCCAAGCTAGTTGAGTCGGTTAGATGAATCCTCACTATCCATTTCACTCTATTTGAGGGAATGTCATTTCAATACTTCAAAAATTAGGTTCTCTCAGACTAAAAGTTCACATACAAATCTCTTTTTTTTAAAATAAGTAATTACTGAAAGATAAGTCTCTATCTAGATTAAAAGGACGACTAGCAAACATTAAACCTAATGTAATCTTCCTCAGTCTTAGTGTTAGCTACTTGGTATCACCTCTCAATATTTTTCTTTCCTAGTGTTCTATTTTTTTGCTAAGCCTATATGCACTGCAAGATATTGTAGCAAACTGCTTAAAAGTAGATTGTTTTTTTTTTTCAGGTAAGGTAACTTAATATTCACATCATCCAAGAGATGGAATGGGTCCTATCTCCATAACTAGGGATTCAACATGCTTTTAACTGCATAATAAAAGTTGGTCCATATGCTCAAATACCTGTATGCATGATAACAAGGATTTGTGTAGCACCTTATTCTCCACCACGCACCTAAAGACAAAACTCAAACATCATCTGGTGAGAGAACATCATAACTATGAAAGCAAGTTGTTACCTCAATAAAAGGAATTCTTACCCGAGAACATCTGCATCAACATCTCTTGCATTGTACCTTGTATAGCCCAGACCCGTATAATCCCAAACCTATAAAGAAATAAATTACTAATGGGTCAAAAGTGAAATTTTTCCACGATTGGATCCAATAAAAATGAGGTCATTTGGATGTCATGATGCAATTTGTATCAAGGTAACTTAGCAATTACAAGAATCTATAGTCCTATCAAAGACAAATTACAATTCTCACAAGCAACAGCTTTCCAGATATTTTCTTGAAAAATATATGAGAAGAAGAAATTGTTAGCAACAATGTTCGTCCAACCTTCTATTTCTGAAAACTAGGATATCTTGATGGTTGGAAGCGCATAGGCAGCTGAGAAGTAAAGCATTGCAAGTTTAACAAGTTTAGCTAAGATGTGCTTTGCCAGTTACCTTTTTAGTCTCTCTTAGTTTAAAGCTATTGGTGTTACCATCTGCTGCCATTAACATGACAAGGATGAGTAGAGACAGAGATACTGAAATTCTGAAACAAACAAAGACAACCATTTCCTTTAACATACATTTGGAACACAGATCCATACCCCACTTTTCCCCTTCTTTTTAATTGGAGAGGTGGAGAATAGGTATACTACTCTTGGTCACTGATAAATATTTTTAGAGACCCTTCAGTCCCATTTTTTTTTTTCAAACTGGTAACTTAAAAAAACAAGATGTCTAAAGGCTAAGTCCCATTGCACAGAGCTAAGTGTCCTTCATGATCAAACTCTCTTCCTCCTTGCCAGGAAGGAGTTCCTTTATTAGGCTGTATATCACAACTGAACAGTAAACATAAATACTATAATCTTACTTGCTATAATTTGAGAAAGTAGTCACCGCACCTTGTACACATTGAAAAAATTTCTACTGGGTTCACATTGATTGAAATTTATTTGGCAAAAGACAAGATGTCTAAAAGCACGATTCAAGTATGGTAAGACATTTTCCTTGTGCTTTAATAAATTTCTGATATGCAAGCATCCTTGGACAAAAATTACAGTACTCCAAAGAGAAGAGTTTGAGGAACACATAATATGGAATAACTGTAGTTAGAGATTGCAATAAATTGAACCTTTTCTCAATGCACATGATAAAGACAATGATTGTAGAGAGTTAAACTGGGTGTTCAACACTACGTACCCCATTAAACTTATTCTTTTAACTATGTCCCCAAATATTGGCATTTATAGTAATTATATTCTCAACAGAGGATGGGCTTAAATTACTCCATAAGAAAACTTACAAGAATGAAAATGTAATTAGCAAAATTACCTGCATTTTATCGAAGTAAGCATGGCGGTGCTGCTGAACAAATTCCCATGCACCCATATCTGTAAACCAAACGTTTTCTCATGATAATCTCACATGCTTTCCATTAACAGGTGATGATGTTTTCAGCAAATCAAACATGTTCAAGCAGAAAGTAACAACTACTGGTACACGTACAGAATGCATCATATAATGTCCTTTTGATTCAAAAAGTAATAAACTTTCAACAGGTCTTTCATCTTTTTCTGACTGTTTTTCAATGGCTTTACCAATACAATGATTTTATCATACATTTTCAGCATAGGAAAAAAAATTTCTCTTTAGATGCAACCAGTTAATGTAATGGCAGAAACACAGATCAAACCATTATCAGTACAGACAGAAAAATCTACAGAAATATCAGAAAATAGAATAAGTTCGAGGATACCTTTGAAGAAAGAAATGGTGGCAGGTGTGACTGTACTGACCCGTGGATCTGGGGGGTCCTCTTTCTTAATGTGAAAGTTATTCATCAAAGCAGGATTACTGTCAATGATGGCAACACTTAGTTGCTTTGTCAATGGCATAGTTGCTGCAGAATAGTCAACAAGTTAGAAGAAGAGTTGTCATGTTGTTGACTAGCTTAATTTGGTACAGTATATATTCAAATGATTCACATACAACAGTGTCCATCTTTTACCCCTTCTAGACTGCTGTTCCCAGAGGGTTGATAAACTTTTATAAACTAGTATTCAACTATTTTCCACAGGCTGATTATCATTGCAGGTAGTCACTACCAGGGATAAGCTTTTCAAGGAAAAACAGAGTACCAAGTGCAAATCGAGCAGATGACTGAAATTTCTAACAAAAAGAATTTCTAAATCATCTTAGATTCAACTAGTAATTTAGAGGACACCTTTACCACTGTTCAAGCATCAAAATTCCAATTTAAGAAGGTTAAACAAAACATATTTACCTAAGGAGCACGCTAGAGCCATCCCAACCATACCACCTCCAACAATAGCAATATCATATTGTGGTATGTCATCTCTTAATCCAGGCTTTTCCAAAGGCTTCTATGCAGTTAAAAGAGAGGCAGATAAAAGTGAAGACTGGAATTGATACAGAAAATAAAAAAGAAAAGAGATCAGAATGTACAAACGTTCAAATTGATAGTACTAGAATAATACCTTTTCACTGACCAAATCGGGATTTTTAACACCTGTATCACTGCATAAAGTCCTCTGTACAGATCTAAATCCATGAATATTCGACACAATTCTTCTGCTAACAGAAAGCCTAATGCAAGAATATATTAGATTACATTATCGTCACGAAATTAAAGATTGAAGGAATAATCAAATATGACAATATTTTATACTTCACTATCGGCACATATTATATGGTATGTGTTACAATTTCCACATGCACAACCACAATTTTAAATGAGACTGGAGTTAATCTACACACTAATAAAACACACTGCCCTCTTGATGAGTATATTCTCAATCTCCTGTTTGTCTAATGTACACAGGCAGGTTATTTCCATCAAAAGGAACCAAAAGTTTGTTGGTAAAACAAACAACGTTACTAGGATATCCAAGCAATCTATCTGCCTATTCCTACATGAAGTTTTTCTTCCAATAGATCTACACAATTTCCTAGGTAGTTATGCAGTCATAATCATAAGAAAGACAAATGCATTCAGTCAATTGTATTGTCTGTCTCTGACTCTCAGACAATAGAGGGCTGCTCCAGTGATAGATCCCTGGGAGGTCAGGAGTTCGAGTTACAAAGGGAGAAAGTGGAAATTCTCCACTGCTGATCTCTTCAGGGTGGAGCAAGAAAATAACTAGCCAAAAAATCAGCTCCGGAATTCCATTTTGTAGCTCTACATCTAAGTACAGAACTCCAAACCAGAAAGACCAAAGACACCTTTCAGATAAATAAGCACACATCTATTATCTAAACACAGACATCATGCAGTTCACATTTTCTTCCCTCCCAACATCAAATTTACTCTACATTTAGTTATCACTATGCTCTTAAAAACCTTAGTTCCTTTTGTACCTTCGAGACTATGCAGCTCCAACTTCTAATTGACCAAAATTACTATCCCGGAAAGAAAACAAAACAAAAAATAAGTGTCAACAAATATTCAGTGGATATTCAATTAGCTTTTTGCCCAAAATAGTCCCTTAACTATGCCCTAAATTTTCACTTCATCATCATAAAAGTTAACTAAAATTCATGAAGTAAGAATTCGACAAAAAACTAGTCTAAAAACCTATTCAAGATTAAATACATTAAGGAAACCAAACACACTTTTTGCCAAGTGATCCAGCATTGCCGGAAGAAGAAAAAAGAAGATGACTAGTGAAAAAAAACAAAGCACAAACCACACAGGGGCCTAATTTGAATCCGAATTACACTCATTAATTCCCAAGTATAGAAATCAGCTAAGGCACTACGAATGTAGGTATGGTATAATGAAAGTCATTTTCTAGTGTATAATTACCAAAAAAAATGTTATTTTCCACCAGAGGAACATGACTTCTCTAATTTATGAACAGAGGTCATTTTCCTCACAACTATAACTTTCAATACCGGATCACTTGCTCCAATCAACAGTAGACATTATTATCAATCTGTACTAAATAAATCATCAGACACTATAAAATTTGCTAATATTATTATGCACTATTAAGCTTTAACACATTTATTTGGAAAGACAATTTCCACTAACCAGCCAAAAACCAAAAAACATTTTATAAGCCAAAGAAGTCATTTTTACCATTTTGATTGAAACCATTTCCCAAAATTTCAAGTAAACCAAACACAACAAAATCACTTTGCATGATTAACACATTTTGTGTCATACCAAACACACTTAAGAAAAAAAAAAAAACCACAAATTCACAAATTGCATACTCAATAACTTGAAATTAAACTTCCCTAATCCAAAACACTGCCAAAAATTCATACTTGGAAATACCTTACAATAATACACAAAAACCTTACCAAAGGAATAATTATTTTTTTTTGGATAATTTCAAGAACACACACAGAATCAAAAGTACACATAATCAATAACACAAAATCGCATACATACCCATTTTAATATTCTGACAGGCATAAATTTCAGGAAAATAAAAAAATCACCTAGTAACTTCAAATTCATATTACTATTTTTCAACTAACTCAAATGCAAATTGAAAAATTAAAATAAAATAAAATAGATCAAAGAACATTCGATACCTGTTCATGCTTGCTATGTTGCTACGTGGAGAAGAAGCAATTCCCTTTAACAGTCGTTTTGGAGACTTAAGAGTTGGGCAATTTTAGTTTTGGGCCTAATTTTATTGGAAATATTTGCACAAGTAGCCTATTTTTTTACATAGAACTATTTAAAGTGAAGCCACATTTTTTTTGTGTGTTCATTGCTAGTTATGCAGAAGTGAGTTTTGAATTTGAACGACTAGTTATATAATCTACTTTTAGTTTGATATACTAGAAGAAGAAAAAGGAGGAAGCTATTTGTGTGCATAAAGTTCAATCATATATGCATGAGTTTCATGCAGAAATGCTTGAAATTCAGTCATACATGTCTAAATGTCGAAAGTTCGCTTACTTCTAAATCGTATGAAGTTTGGCTTGCTAAGTTAGGCTTTAGCAAGCCAAACTTCAGACGCGTATGTCTAAACTTCAGATCCATGCGCCTAAAGTCGATTTAAAGTGGCTAAAATTACAATGCTTTAAGCTTCAATTATGGTTTAAATGGGGGTTTTGATATCGGGAAAATGCACAAGTACCCCCAACCTATGCCCGAAATCCCAGAGACACTTATACTATACTAAGGTCCTATTACTCCCGAACTTATTTTATAAATAATTTTCTACTCCTTTTCAGCCTACGTGGCACTATCAATCAGATAACTTGAAAAAATTGTCAACACGCGTTGGGCCCAGAAGATAGTGTCACGTAGGCCGAAAAGGGATAAAAAATTATTTATAAAATAAGTTCAGGGGTAATAGGACCTTAGTATAGTATATATGTATCTCTGAGATTTCGAGCATAGATTGGAGGTACTTATGCATTTTCCCTTTTGAAATCAGCTATTTATACACTTCTTCATCAGAAAATAAGAGACAAGTGCAAAAATAACCAGTTGGAGGAGGAGCACTGTTTAAAATATAGCCAAAACTATGGAGTATTCAATATATAATAGCTTCATCATCAAATTCAGACATGCAAGGCTGAAGCTGATATTTGTCAAAATTCAGTATATATTGGTATGTCAAAGCCAACAGGGAACAGAAATAAATCATGCAACTGTGGGAACATTCACCTGAAACAAAAACATTTGTTCCACACATTGATCACAAGAATTTGGAAGAATCGCGAATTTTAACTTTTATACCACCCACAATAATTTACTCAGATCTCCAAAAATACTAAAACAAGATCAGTCAATGAAGAATGTAACATGTTCTCATGTGAATCAAGTGCTTCAGCTACTGTTTCCTACTCTTTCCTTTCTTTGCCTTATCCTTTTCTTGCATTTTCTTTCTCTTTGCTTCTGCTGATATCCATGTGTAATCTTGAGGGACTACAAAGGGATCTTGAATGTTTTCGATCCTATTACTTGGACTGCCTGTAGAAGAACCAGGACGTTGATATGGGGCTTTTATCCACTGAAACCATGATGAACTTGAAGGCTGTGCCCCTGATGGACTCTCCCTGCCCGAAGCAGTAGGGCTGGAAGGAGGAGTTGCAAACTCATCTAGTGGCTGCAATTCTTCAAATTTAGTGAATGTCACCAATACTCTAATCGTTGGAACAACTGGAATTGCTACCTGAAACAGCGAAATAAATTCTTAGGCTACTGGAACTTAACATATAGGTAATTAGTATCATAGAATGCATGCTCCTTGTGCATGTGTATACTAAGACAACGACAACAACATACACGGTAATCCCACAAGTGGGGTCTAGGAGGGTAGAGTGTATGCACACCTTACTCCTACCTTGGAAGGTAGGGAGGCTGTTTCGGACAGACCCTCGGCCATGTGTATATCTAAGACCTTTAACAATTAGAGTAATTTCTAGAGTTGACAATCATGTCAAACACATGTTGGGAGGTAAGGGATGTCAAGCATTAGATGAAGGAGACCAAAGGTACGAAATTTAGGTATCTAGTCCGAGAAATAACAAAATCCTATAGCAAATCTTTGATAATTTCAGTCAACATACTCACAAATAGGCAATAGCTAGTCTGAAGAATACCATGGTGAAAACGTTTCGATAATACCAACTAGTAAAAAAGAAAATCCACATCTGGGGAAATTCTACAGGATGAATGCATCTATCTAATGATTCATTTTCTAGAAATGATGTTCAGCTGGAAGTTCCACCTTCATTCCAAAGGGGATCCAGCCTTACTCCCATCTAGATTAAAACTCCTCTCTGCTACTGAACTCTTTTGCCCCAAATACCATTGCAACTTATCTATGTAGAGCTACAGGGTCTCTTTTACTACACTTCAATTATCTAGTGGCCTGATACACCATAATAATTCCTCGAAAAACTACATCATTTGTTCCCTCATTATAGCTAAAGAGCATCTGCAATATACAACCTTTAAGGTTCAAGTCTTAACAAAAAGTAGCTTCATACAGCTTAACCATGAAAAACATCAACATAAATTATGTCCATAACATTCAATTGCACTTGTCTTACTGTTCAGCTTCATTAATGATTTGCACATGTCAAATAGTTAAAAATTCCAATCCTTAAATGATATATCATGAGTACCCAGAGAGTTTCGCACTTGCGTTTAATGGTTGCACCCACAGTGAACTTACAACAGTTCAATTCTGCATTGATGCTTATTACAGTTCTATGGCATTGTGATCCTGTTTCTACACATTAGGTTTAATTGGTCTGTATTGGAAGTTTTCACTCCTATCCTTTTTTTTGCCAATCCTTCAACACTCAATCATGAGTACCTAGATTATTCAAATTTATGGGTCATGGTTGCACAGATAACATAAACTGAAAGATAAGTAAAATTTTGGTTGATGGACTGATGAGAGTTATCTAACAGCAGACAACCACCACCTCAGTGATGCAGGACAGAGAGTAACTGTTTTGGACTAAAGCTGGTAAGATTTTAGTAGGAGTATAGTTGAATCCATCGTCCCCGGGATCTTACATCTTTATGGCTCATGGAAAGGGGGAAGGAGGGTAAGTGAATCTGAAGCTTCAGGATCTACGATGGATCAAAAGTGATGCTGATTATACAGGCTTAGTTTTAAGAACTTAAGCCAAACGTCCCAAAAGTACTGGTGGGTGGCACCAAAAGATGCAGTATCAAAAATGAAGTTAATTTGAGAGGCTGAAAATGCAGAAAGCTGATGAAAATTATGGATTCTTGAGCATGACACTAATATCAAAGATGATGTCCATGAAAAGAGAAATGAATAGAAAAAAAGGTTTTCTCATTAACAAAATACAAGAGAGATCCTTAAAGTTTCATAATTAGAATATTCCTAATTGCTATGACGTAACATGAAGAATATTTTACACGTTATTCATATATATTGTTTCATTTTCATCTACACATGTTGTTAATGAAGTCATTTGACTTTCACCATGCCTCCTCCAACTGAAAGTGGTTAAACACCTTGAGTTACAACAAAATTGGAAAATCAAGTTGGGGCAATCATTAGAATAGTGTCACTGAAACAGTATGCTGGAAATAAAATTTGACTTCGCATTGCCATTGGAATGACTAGGCCATCGCACTAACTGCAATCCTTGAAACACCACTGAACTTGAGTACATGGATGATGTCAGTTTGATTTATAGGTTGTTGACCAAAACAAATACGTCGCCACCAGACCACAATGTTGTCAACCTATGGCCCTGACTAACTGATTATTTGGTGATGACATGATGCTGATTGGGCATTGCCATGTTTAAGATATGGCATTGATCGACCCAGTCTAAGATGTAAAGTACTGGACCTACTGGTTGGACAGTGCACTAACTAGAAATTTCAGCTAATATGGATTATTACTACATAGGACAGATAGACCACTAACTTTTTTTGGGGGGGAGGCTTGAACCTCGACTATTCCACTGGGTACTTGCCACCTCCCACATAGACTGCTAACTTGAGAGGTTATCTAACATAGACCAAAGAGTAACAAAAGTGGAGTGCTGATTTGACAGGTTAGCTGATGGAGTTGATCAATTAGCTTCTGACAAATTTAGACTGCTATATTTATGGATCAACTAACATGGACTGATGACAAATGGGGACTGTTGAAACTTAGCACAAGGGCCATGTGGAACAGATGAGCCACTGGATCCTAAACTGCATATCTGGAGGACTTCAAGGACTGTCCTCCTTTGCCTTCCCTGCTGACCCCATCACTTACAACACTTTCCTTTTCTTATATTAGGCTTCACTACGGGGTTATGGTTTTGGAAATATTGGTCATTTTTTACTATCTTAGTTCCATTCCAAATACAGGCTAGGAATAATATGACTGCATCCCATAGTTGCATTTCACTAGACTTTGTTCAAGCATACTAGATGAGTATCAGGGGTCCCTAGGTTAGTACCTTATAACCTCATCCCTGTGAATTCTTTTTCAAAAGGGTCTTTCCTTCTCTGAGAAGGCCTCGTCATCCCTTTTTCGAGGAACTACCTCGTCCCTTTGAATTCTTATACCAATAAAGTTACAACTTTTTTTTATAAGGAAAAAAAAAGACGTTCTATAGATAGATATGATACTCTATGACAGACACACCCAACCTTCTATACAAAATGGAACCTTATCGGTGCACCAAATAGACATTAAAAATAGGAGGCCATCCCTCATATGTATAAAAAGCTATGTTCTTTCCCTTCAAAACTATCATTTATCCCTCTGTACTATTCACCTAAATGCTACTGGAGGAATATTCTACACCCAACATCTTCTCTTCCATCCTCTGAAAGGCCTAACTAAATATTGCATCCTTTATAATACTCTGTGTGGAAATAGGTTGAAGTTATTTACCATCATACAATCTAAAATCTGCTCAAAAAATCAACTTTTTGCCTAATTTGACCCATATTTCTTATAGCATGCCAGAATATCATCTCTAGCCTTTATCTCAGAGTCAAGTCAGCTAAGCCAATAAATCCGAAAGGGTGTTTCAGAAGGGTTAAGGTCATCATGTCTAAAGTTTTCCTTTTTTAAAAAAAGTAACCATTATCCTATGGACAACATTTAGTTA